TACACTGTTGTTTTTTTGACAAAATGCTCTCCAAATGTGAACCCACTGTCACACAAATGTATCTTATGTCCAACATTGTGATAAAAAAGCCATGGAAATGCATTTTGTGGCATTAAATTGTCCCCAAATGTGACAATTTGTGCACTTCAGTATGATAAATGAAGTTGGTGATAGTTTGGTCACTGTGTTGTAGTTATTAGTTAATTTTGCACTTTGAAATCCATGTGGCCCAAATTTGTTGCCACAGTAATGTTTTGAGCACATAATGCTTTTTGTGGCATAAAACATAAATATTGCAACCTGTGCACCTCAAAAAGCTGAACACACATACATCAAAAAGAATAGAACGCACGCACGCACACAAACACACACACACACACACACACACACATACACACAAAGCTGTAACCCAGAGAGCCTTTCTTCTGATCTTCATCTCCCAGTAACACAGTGAGTCTGTTAGTTACGTTGGTCTCGAGTATTAACTGGACGAAATAATACACCAAATGAAAACCAGTATGGGTAAATTGTGTGTTTTGACCAAAACAAATAAAGAAACTAGCAATTGGCTGACTGGCTTTTCATTTTCTGTGTGATGGTTTCTTACTACGGTGCTCTGTTGCCATCTGGTGGTGAAAATAAAGGTATGCACACACCCTTGGCCACATACTGGTGTGTATGTTCAGTATGGGTGCAGCATCAGGGCCAAAACTAAGATTTGACTAATACTGAGTACCCACTGTGTACCCCACACCACCCTCACCCCAAAATTTGGCCAGAAATCAGAATTCTTTTATATTTTAGATACTCAGTGAACTGTTTAATTAAACTTTATGTAGATTTAATTTTCTCTGGGGGAGAATGCTGAAGCTGTATTTTATTTATTAATTGGCCATAATAGTAGTCAAATATATTGGCTTAAAAAAAAATCATACTCACCATATGTTTTTATCTGGTTTAGCAGGTTGCTGAAGTCAGGGCAGATTTTTGAGTCATGAGTCCAATACTGCTCTTCTAAAAATTCTGACCAGAAACCCTGAAATACAATTGTTTTGATTATATGGATTTGTTATGTTTTTCTCACTATTGTTGCCAGCACTGTTCGATCAAACAATGCCCACAAAAACCTTTGCTCTTAAACTCTTAATAATTATATGTAATAATAACCGATGTTTTTTGTGTAAATTCAATTGTTGCATATTTTGTCATTTTTGTTCTTTGTATTTTTATTATTTCTGAAAGCTTGTTTCAAAGCCTTTTCTGGTGGAGAAATATAATGTGGTATTTGTCAAACTAGAAATAGTCAATGCAAAATACAAAAAGAGTCTACCCACTGTGCTTTAGTTTTCTTCATTCTTATCTCACTTCAGGTTTCTAAAACCTCAAAATTCCCATAAAAAATGTAATTACATTACCTAGGTGTATAGCCCTGTGCAGCATGCTAGTCAATAGAAATGTGCTCCAGACTTTGTAGCAGCAGTTTTATGAAGGCCCTTTACTGTTTCAACATGACAATGATCCTGTGCACAAAGCCAGAAAAAAATGGTTTTCTGAGTTTGCTGTGGAAGAATATGACTAGCCTGCACAAAGACCTCAACCCAAAACCTTTGGAATGAACTGGAACACTGATTATGGCCCTATTCATGGAGACCCAACGTTTTTAATATTAAATAAATAAAGGCGCCATTTGTTATATAAAAGGTCGTTTTCGGAGCACATACAGTACAGTTGACATGTCTCAGAAGGAAAATGGAAGGAAATGAATGATGGCTGAATTCCATTTAGCTGCTTCCGATTCAGGGTGCTGGTATTGTGCATGCTGGCTCACCGTCACACTGTCATGATTTACTGGGACATTTATTAGGAACACCGGTGCTTTTCCTTCTATGGCAAGTCCAGAGCCGTGTCCCAAATCTATACTAATATACATACACAATATACACACAATAATGCAGTATGTACCATAATCGTCATAGTATACTGTTTTGGCAGTTAGTACACCAAAATATCAACATACTTTACCACTTTATACTGACAGGAAAATATGCATTATATGTAATGTTGGATGTGAATCAAGTTGCACCTCAGAAAAGCCACAGCCAATTAAACTTCACAAGGAGACATCAACATGTTTTTCCTTAGTTTAGTTATTTTTTGCTTTGAAGTGGTCTCACCACCCACAGTTTATTTAAACGTGTTCCAGCTGTGAGTGTCTCTTTCATTTCCTTTGTGCATTGAGGGAGAGTAGTGTCAATGTACAGCACAGTCAAAACCGACCATATTCAGTATGTTTCTTGCTTCCATTGTCCGGCCAAATGTAAAATATAGTCATCAATTCTTTAGCTGTGACCTTGACCTTTTGGTCTCCACCAACTTTTGAACAAAACATCTGGCTCTTTAGCTACCAAATGCTCCAATTTTTTCATCAACTAGTCTCTAACTGTGTCTGTCTGCTGTTTGGTGCTGAACAGGTAGTGTAAGGAAGGTTTTTAGAGCTTTTTTTTGGTAAAAATAGCTTCCTGGTGCTGCCTAAAATGCAATGAGAGTGAAACAAAACAGTAATGGTGCCAGCCAGAAGACCAAAACACAGAACTGAAAGAACTCTGTAGAGTTGAGGACAATGGCAGAGTTAGGTAATTTGGAACACTTAGACCCATACTTGAGGTTGTTATGGCAGAAGATTGATACCCGTGGCTTTTGAACAACATGTTCAGTAATGACATTTATCAGATACCTTGTGAGCAAGTGTTTCACTGAAGACACTAACAGGTAATGAGAAGAGACACAGGACACCTTTGACAGAGTCACATCATGCTTTTATGACGAAAAGGAGTTAATTTACAAGACAGACAGTATATAAAACATACATTGAAATAAAAAAAGAACTCATATGTGTTTTATAGACAGGTACATTATTATCTCATCCTTCCCTTTGAGACCAAGCAGCCATGGGACTGAGCAAAACATGGGTGATCCCTGGAGAAAAGAAGCAGCAGTTAAATCCTATATTACTATAACTACACTATTTACAGTTCAACAGTCATTGTCCTCTGTCAGACATGGCAAAGAGGTCTACAGATTATATGACACGATATGGCTAATAGTTCTAATATGTACAGTTTCTGTTCTTCACATCCAAGGATCCACAAATCACTGTGCAAAATATACATTTTATAATTCAGGTACAGTCAGATGTTCTTGAGTCCGAACTTGGTACTTACTGTAAAACAGTCTCTATTATGAGCCTGTTATGTGCTTTAATGATTGATCAGATCACACCACTCAGTCTGACAAGCTGAACAACTTGTTTTCATGTTAGCTCTGTATTTAATTGGAGTGCTCAGCACCCATTCCTAGGTTTCAGAAGGCTATAAGGACCGTGTCAAAGAGGAACCAAATGCATTAGCACAAAAACTAAAGAGTGATCAATGAAAAATGTTCTGAAATGCTTTACGAGGTCGGTGCCAGGTTGATAGAGAGACAGAGAGACAAGACAGAGAGAGAAAAGAGAGAGAAAGAGAGAGGAGAGAGAATAGGAATAAGCCAAATTTGAGACATAAACTTCAATATTTTCCATTAGAGGGCTCCAATAAATACAGAGCTATACCAACAACAGCTTCCTCTGAAGAGTAGGAGAAATAAGAGAGCGTTACATCGGCTCAGACCTGGAAAAAGACTGTCGAAGTCTGGCACCATCTCGTTCTTAAAAGAGGAAAAGTAAAATCATCTTGTAATGTGGAAACCTAGGAATGAGTGCCAACCAGGTCTGTAAGAGCTCTGTACGCCTCCTCCTCCTACTCCAGAGGGATTGTGGGAGAGTGACAAGGTTCAAGATAGATCAATGAAAGTATGCCATTAATAATCCTATCCCCATACAGCATTGATCAGTCCCACCAACCTGCTTGGAATATCAATCATTTTATCTACAGCTTACACATCTGAGCAGATCCTCTATGTGTGGATAGATAATTATGTGTAAAAGTACAATCATCCAAAGTAAACAAAGGGTTCTTTTGTAAGATACACACTCCTTTTAAATATTCAGGAATACTGGAGCAGGTGATTGTTTGCCCCTGGCTTTGATTTGTACCCGATTAAAATCCCTTTTATGGTCTCACTTGCTCTTACAGTAAGTTTGTTTCAACCAGTCCCATGGCCAGCAACAATGGCACCCATAGCTCTCCATACAAGTGTAGGTGAGAGTTTGGCAAGACCAATCACTGTATACAAAAGGCATGCATAGATTAAACCTGCTAAGACCACAAGAAAGAAAGTTTTGTTCTCTAGAGAGGAACTGTTTGTTTGCGGATCAGCTCTCATATGTATAGAAAGAATGATGCTGTGACATTTTTATTAAGGTTTGTTATTGTTTGTTGTGATGGTGGTGAGACTAGAGGGGGCATCAGAAAGTATTCGTCAAATCTACAGACTGAGTCCCAGCAACTTAGGCCAGATCGGGTAGAGGCCTCTCCTGATAACTTGAACAACGCCCCAGACACCTAAAGTAGAGAGGAGGTCACGCTATGGCTATAAGAAAATCAGTGAAGCCCTGACTTATGAAGCTAACAGTCAATTTGCTCTCTTCAGTGTTTCACTGTATGAGACCCAAAGCTGTTATTTATTTATTTTCCCACCACATACAATACTGGCACATCAGCATCAGCAGTATGGTCCCATTTGTTGCTATTACCCACAGTGACCACTTGGGGTCAGTATTGTCACATAGAAAGGGGGGCACTTGCAATTGTTTGGTCAAGGTTAAGATGAAGCAATTGTCTGTCCAAGGTGCTTTAAACAATACTTCAACAATGCTCCGCTTAATGTCCAATTATGCCTGAATATCAGTTAACAGTGACTGCTGTGCATTACCATCTCTTTGTCCAATCAGAGAAAGCCACCATAACCAGCGGATATGCAAAAAGGTAAAATAACTCAAATGGTATGTGCATGACACACACTTCTGAGAGGTCTTTTATGGAAATGTGACTAATAAGCCAAGTAATCACCCAATCAGCCGAGCTCGCTTCTCCGTCATCCCATTACTGCTCCTCTCAGCTCTGATAATTCAACTCAAGTCTAATCCAATCACAACAGCAGCTGCAGGATCTAGAGTAGGAGATGGATTCATTTAGAGCTAATATGGAGTTGGAAATAACAGAAAGCCAAGGCTGTAGAAATGCAGTCCTAAAGGTAAGACTGAAATTGGTCTTTGCTGGCCAAATAGTAAGATAACAGCTAAGAGACTGAGAACTAGAACAAAAACAAAAGAGCAGTTCAGGCTTGGCTGGTGATGACGCCATGATTATTGGTGTCTCAGGGTTTGTCTTATTTTGGTCTGCGTCTTTGAAGAGTTCCCCAGTGGAAGGTATCCTAATAGCGTGGTTGCTGCTGCTGTTGTAAATGGGGCGTCTAGACTACAGTACACCAACCCCAGGCAAGGACGAACCGGAGGAGGGAGCGGGGGATCGCTCAGCCTACTTTCTCAAGTATCACGGCAGAGGAGATGAATCAAGCTCAGCTCCACTGGTATCTAAACCCTGACAGTCTGTCAGCCAGACTAAGGCAACGGCTTGGCTGTAAAACTGTGTGTTCTGGCACCTCTTTTTTTGATAGAGAGAAAGGGTCAGCTCTAGGAGGTAAAATGTTTAATGTATTTCTAAAGCTTTTGATGATGGGATAAAATTTGGAGGGGAAAGGAAAGATTTTTTTCAAAGCGCAATTAGCTTGAAGCAAAACAAGTTTCAAGGACTCGCAAGGTTTGAATAGATACAAGCGCTAATTTTCAACCCTAGATCAACATGAAAATGTCAGCTTTCAGTGAATGGACTGCTTTAATGCTACACCTTTTCCAAATGACTCAGTGTACCACAGTATGCAGAAAGTGAGTGTAGGCTCATAGTCACGGTATTACAACACCCCCCCCCACACTTCTACATTTGTAAGTTAAAGTGTGACAAGATATCATCAGAGAAAATACATACAGTACAGTCCATGGGTTTTCATATCCAGAGAAAGATCCCAGAGTGGCACTGTGCAGAGAGGGAAAGTTCCAGAAATGGTTCTTTAGGAATGAGTAGGGCGTGAAATGGGAACTAATGTTTTTTTGTGTGTTTTTTTTTAAGGAAACCTGGGTCACCCCTTTCATCTTTTGTCTCGACTGATCCAATCACTGCTCCGTTTTCGATGGCATCACGAGGAGCAACAAATCATAACACAACAACACTGACTCACCGACCGCACATTACACGTGTCTACTACCACACAACCATATTCCAGCCTAATACTGTGAACAGGGACAACGAGGGGTGGAAATGTTAAGAAGACAGGGAACAGGAAGAGGGGGGAGGACAGGTAAAGAAGGGGAGAAGGAGAGGAAGATAATAAAATGAAACACACCCTCATCTACGCTTACATTTGTGATTGATGTTTACACGATAACACCATCAACAATCACTACAGACATTCTCACTGTCTTCTAAACCTAGTTTTCACTGAGAAATACGGGGGAATGGAAAAACAGAAGGGTTGGCTCAGGAAAAGGAGACGTCCATGAAGGCATCGTCCTGTTCTCAACACAAAAATGGCCACTGACACTGTTAAGGGCGGTGCAAAAAACCAGGCCAATTTGTTCATCTATTCTCATTCGGCCTCATGAATCTTTAACAGCTGTTCAGTTATTCATCCTGACACAGAAGCCGCAGTTTCATCATCCCTCACAAGGGACAAAAATTGAGTTTGCAGGATTTATTTTGCAAGTTTTGAGAGTTTGAGGTTCTTTCTTACCTGGGGCAAATTATTTCCAAACCATAAACTTCTCTTTGTTGGTGTGCTTTAAATCAATGATTCCCAACTTACATTATGAACCCATAAAATGAAGCAAGGTGTACTTGCAACCACTCATGATTGCACATGACAATGAGTTGAATAGCAGCCTATTACCAATATGCTAGGCCTATAAATTCATCGCTAAATGATTGTGTAAAGTCTATAGGTTTTTAATAACTAGGCTACTAGCTAGTTTCAAACTAGTGATTAAGTAAATCATATATAATAATATAATAATCATATTTTTTCAGATTTGAAAATGTCTCAGCTCATCAAGACTTTAGTAATGTTTAATATTGTGTGTAAATATTAACAACTAATCTCTGACATAAGAACTAGTTTGTGTGGAGCAACCAATTTTGATTTAGTGATGTGTAAATACACTTAAAATTTTAACCAAATGCTATGTTTGATCCCGTATATAACACAAACGTTAAATTTAGTTTAGAATAATTTTGTGCAGCCTTATGTTTTTCCCCTTTTATATTATCCTGTTAACTTTCTTATGACACCTCCAATTCAATTTGTGACACTAGATTAGGAACCACATCTTTAGATTATGTCTCTTTTCTTCAAAATATTACCCTTCCTGGTTTCAGTTGATAAGCACTGAGATGTGAACAGGCTCACGCACTGTCTAGTGAATGGGAATGTTATTAAGTGTTGAGAACAGAGCAGCCCCACATGGAGGACGAGGAACGTTAAAACGGTAAACAGTCAAAAGGTCACGGAGAACAACAACTGAAGAAATTAAAAGGACAAACAAGAAGCAACGGAACACTTCAAAAAAGGTTTTTTGTTGTTTTTTTCGTTTAGAAAACCACAGTACTACTCTCCACTATACGATGCACATGGTGTGGGTAGGGTTAACACGACTTCATTTACATTTAAATCCTCGATCTCCAGCCAGGGACCCCTCCCAAAGGAGGACCCAGTGGGGGTGTGTGTGGGGGGGTGGGGGTGAGGAGGGGGGATGCACTGGGCTAGGGGGGCAGAGACATTCGCACACCGACCGTCTCAGAGACAGAGAGAGGGCAGTCAGCGTCACACTGCATTATCAATTTGTATGTTTATTCATGTGGAACTGTGATTGTTGTTCCTATCAATTCAATAACCTTGATGTGGTTTAATCTCTGTGTGTGTGTGTGTGTGTGTGTGAGAGAGTGTGTGTATGTTATGGGGTGCAACTTTATGCAAGCCCAGCGACAGCAGATGGTCTTGTGATAATCACAACAGCTTGTAAGATGGCAGTAGCAATAATTGTTATTATATAACTGAATCATGCACGTTACTGTATAAAAAACAACCTACACAAACTATGGCTTTGTTTCTTCACTCACAAATTTACATCAGTTCTCTCAGAGAGAATGAATTTTGGCTTTATGGCTCTACATACAGTATTGCTGGAATGTTATATTTGAACAGAGTATGTGTGGTTCACTCGCTCTGTAGCGTAGTTATTTCACTTTTCCTGAGAAAAGGTGCCATATATGTGTTGCAATGTGTGCTTTCCACTACTAGGACGAGCGTGTGTGTTTATGTTTATGTGAAGACCCCTACATCGTCACTGTGTGTCCTCTGTTTGCCTCTGAGTGTGACCCAACTCTCCAGGCTGCTCCCCCCTGGCAGCGCTGGGAAGGTCAGGCGTCCACTAACACAGCAGAGGGCAGAGACGGAGGGTGGAGGCCGGCAGGTTGACCCTCTCCTGTTGATGAAAGAGCATAAATGGAGCAGGAAGAAGAGGTCACATTGACTTCTTTTTTTCCGCCTCCCTCCCCTTCTACCCAGCAACCCTCCTGTGGCCACCAGCCTCAGTCCCCACTTGCTCTTTCTTGTGTTGGTTGCCATGGTTACTGCGGCGGCCCGTGTCCGGTGGGCTTGACTTCCTAACCAAACCTTCCGGGCCACGGGCAGCCACAGCAGCTCTCGGTCAGTGCGCTCGTCCCAAACTCACACAGCTAACCTTGTCGCAACATCTCACAAAGAAGAAAAGGCCAAATTGTGTTTCTTTTGTCTATGTGATATTTATGTGAATGATCCAAATCCATCGTTCCTTATTAGATATTATTATCAGACCATACATTACATGCATTAAGCTTTATCTCGTTAAAACAAATATGATAATGTTAATGGAGTTTTTAACCTCATTGCTGTGGTTAGAATAAATAAAGGTGGCTGTAATATGTTCTATAGAAAAACATATTCAAACTGTCTTTTAAAGCAATATGTTTTATTCAGTGGTATGAACTTACAACTTAACTATCAAGTGCATTTCTACATGCATGATTCTTAACAAGGCAGACTTTAGAAGAGCATAGCTACAAATTCTATAAATGGATGTTCAGGTCTCCCTGTAATACATATATTTTAAAATCCCTGAATGCACAGAATACAGTGAAGGGACATTTAAATAGAAAAGCAAATGTATTTAATTTTCTCATTAATGTGACCAAGAGACTGGACTACCAGTATTCCACAGCTCAATAATCATGCCAATTTCCAGAAACCTATCTACTATAATTCTTAACTCTAAGCATGAATGACCAGTAGCTCTTTCAAATATATCAATACTGATCCTTACAGTATCCTTCAAACATGCTTTTCACCAAAAGCTGAATAAAAACCACTGAGAGACAGAGAGATCAGGGTCAAACCAAATCAAGTCATGGCTCCAGTTTTGATGTGGGCGCTCAATTTTAAATAGAGCCATAGACAGGAACTTATATTGTGCTTTCAAACTTCTTTGCGAGTTAGTGGCTGTGTGTGTTTGCGTGTGTCAAACACGTTTTTTGGGACGTGCTCATGCCTCCCCCGAGGGACCCCTGGCTGCGTTGTTTCATATCATCTTCATGTTAAACTTCCTGGTCCCTCCCGAAGAGCCTCCAGTGGCGGGTTCAGATTTCCGGAAAGAGTACTCCACTGTGAAGTTGTTCTTGCGTTGGCCGCGTCCCCGGCTCCACACGAACAACAGCAGGAAACAGAAGAGGACCACCCCCAGGAAGGTGATGCAACCCATTGCCGTGGAGACCAAGATGGTGGTCAGGTCCAAGGTGAACTTGAGGAAAACACGCGTGCTGTTCAGATTTGTGTCGTTGAAGAAGTCACCGCTGTACAGCGAGCGGTTGAGAAAGAAGGCTGAGGCGGCATCTAGCGGCTGGCCACGCACTGTGAGCGTGGCGAAGTAGGTATCATTGCCTCCGGCGTTACTGGCAATGCAGATGTATGTACCGCTGTCAGTAAGCTGGGCGTAGCGGATCTCCAGGGTGCCACTAGGGAGAACAGTAATGCGCCCTGAACTCTTAGCTGTGATCCGTCTGCGCTGTGGGGAAATCCAGACAATAGCAGGTACAGGTTCTCCTTCAGCTCGACACAGAAAACTCACTGGCTGTCCCTCACGAGCGACCACCTGCGGAAGTTGGAGGGAAGGAGTGCATGGACTAATAAATGCAGCAGAATATATACACAACAAAATCTGTCAGTATTACAGAATACTTTTTATGCTTGTAGAGGCAATTAGCATTGCTTCAGTAATCAAACCATGAGCATTTATTCAAGTATCAAACCTAAATGTAATCATCTTCATTACCTGCTGCAGCTTACGGTTGCGTATCTTAGGTTTCTGGCATGTAAAGTGATCGAAGAGTGCAGAATCGGTGAAGGCGCTGAGGCTGACCCCTTGCACCTCCACCGGCCCCGCACACACCGGCACTCTGCCGTCAAAGTTGAGGGTCTTGCGTCTTTGCAGGATCCACAACAGACGGCAGTCACACATCAGGGGGTTCCCATCCACTCTGAGGGTCTCCATACTGTTGACAGAGTGGAAGGAGCCCTCTTCCAGAGTCTGCAGGTCGTTGGAGGAGAAGTTGAGGACCCGGATCTGTCGCAGGCCTCCAAGGGCATGGAGCTCCACTGTCATCAACCCTGTGCTTACCATGATGAGCTCCTTCAGCCTCAGCAGGTCCTTGAAGGCCCAGGGCTCTAGTGTGGTGATGGGATTGTAGGACAGGTTGAGGTGGGTGAGGTGCACCAGGTTCTTGAAGGAAGCAGAAGGGACAGAGGTGATGTTGGTGTTGGTAATGGAAAGCCAGTGGAGGTCCAGACCCTGGAAACTAAGAGGGGAGATGTACTCCAAGTATGGCCAGTGATCAATGTCCAGACCCCGCAGGTTGAAGAGCTTGCGGAAGTTTTGGTCCTCTAGGGCAATAATGCTGAGGTGCCGGAGGCGAAGGGTGACCAGGCTGCGAAGGTAAGACAGCGTCTGGCCAGAGATGGATGTCAGGTTGCAGCGCTCTATTGTGAGATCTTCAAGCCCCAGCAGCCCTGAGAATGCCTGGGAATCAGGAACATAAAGGGTGTTTAAACCTAAAATAAGACATTGTTATTCATTTTACATTTATGCATGATGGCCAACAGTGAATGTCTTATATCTATATATTGTTTCTGTTTGTGTTGAGTTTGTGGGGCTGCGAGTGCTGTATAAAATGCACACAAATACATAAACACATCATCTTCCTTTGTTAAAGGAATAATTCAACATTAAAACACAAGACTACAGCCAGTAGTCGGTCAGTTGGTTAGCTTAGCATAAAGACTGGAAATCCCTTCTACACTTCAGTTTTTGTATGTATTAAACAAATACAATTTACTATGTTAATTAGTGAGTTTCAGAGATGCTGATAGACAATTTTGTTACCTTTGAACATCTGTTCCCTGCTGTTTTCAGTCTTTGTGCTAAGCTAACCCAGTTGCTGGCTTTAGCTTCACATTTAGCATAGACATGAGAGTGATATCAATTCTCTCACTTGGCCAACTCTTGCAAAGAAAGTGTATTTCCCAAAGCGTTGAACTACATATTTCTGAGCCAAGTCAGGAATTGATACTGGCTCTATATCTGGCAAATAGCTGCTTGGCATTACTGCCTATTTAAAACTAAAGAAGATATTCCAGTACTATAAATATGAAAGTGTGATCATCTGGGATCTAATTTCCAAGGAGGATTTTAAAAAATACAGCAAATGTTCTTCCATCCAGTTTTTCATTAGTAACACAGTCACGATACAGACAAGATGCCGGCGAGATTACCTTGTGGGATATATAAACCAGGTCATTGTCTCCCACCTCCAGATGTTTCAGACTCCTCAGATCCTGGAAGGTATAGTCCAATAAAATCACCATCTTGTTCTCGCTCAGGTCAAGGCTGGTCAGATTGCCCAGCTTGGCGAAGGCCCCCATGGGCACTAACTTCAGCTGGTTCCCCCTTAACTTCAGCACTTTAAGACTCTGGAGGGTGGCAAAGGCATTCGGCTCTAATGTGGCGATGAGGTTTTCACTGAGGTCCACTTCTTCAAGCCGTGGGTATGGTGCCAGGTCACCAGCTTGCACCCAGCGGAGCCGGTTCTTGCTGAGGTCCAGAAGTTGTGTCTCCGTGGGGATCCCCTCTGGGATGTTGGTGAGCCGCCGACGCTGGCACGACACTGACCTCAGCTGAGCCGAGCACTCGCACCGTGGCGGACAGGCCTGGCTACTTCCTGGCAGTGTCAGGGTTATTATTGCAACCAGAGAAGCACCCAGGACCCATCGCCACACCCTCGGCCATGGCACTAAGGCAAGCCCACCAGGGCCAGGAGAGCCAATCATGGCCCTGGTCCTCTGACTCCTCGCCTGTCGCAGGCAGGGTCAGTTCACCATACACCTGCAAGATTATACAGAGAGAGGGAAAACAGGAACAGGAGAGAAGCAAAGTAAGAGGGGAGAAACAGAGAATATATGAGAAGAATGAATAAAGACACGATACGAGAGAATCTATCATCTCCCAAGCTCATAAAAATTACATCCACACGGCAGTAAATTATCAATGCTTCCTGCAGTTTAAGAAATATTGTAGGGAAAGCTGTAGAGACTTTAGACATATCATGACACGGCATTAAAATACAAATGACGAGACCCTATTACAGGAACATGGACCAGAATAAGATAATACCCGTAAGATAATTTGTCTTCTCATTAATTCATCTATGGCTTCAGTTAGGGAACTAGGACAGCGGGAACCATGCGAGGGAGATTCTCCTGCTTCAGCCGAATTCATGCATGTTGCATCTCCTCAGCTCTCCTTGCAGCACTGAGACCGTCTACTCCATTTTGACAAACACAATGAATTTATTATCACCACGCATAAACATAGACTGAGCTCCTCAACAATCACGCTATGTGATCACCTATGAAATGTGACGTGTTTGTATCACTGTGTACTCAAGTCATAATATGTGTTTGCTCAGGTATGTGCTGATGCATGTATGCGTAGGACGTGGCATTTTACTGGGTATAAATTAAAAATCATTTTGGTCCTCCTAGCACGAAGATAAGATGAATCACTCATGCTTTAACATTCCTTCAGGCAACCTGTCATCTCACCCACACACTGTTTTCAACTCAGAGACAGTCAAAGAGCACCTGGCATCAGATCTGGAACACAAAAGTGTCCATCTAGTTATCAGGAAGTTATGTGAATACTTTAATACTTGAGGAAAATGTTGCTAAACACAAGGTTTTCGCTCTTATGCTAGAAATTCTCACCAGAAACCCCCAGATGTTAACTCTTGACCACTTGCTGGTGTGTTTTTTAAGATGAAGTGGAAATGAGAGAGAATATATCATCATCACCAGGGAGTATCATGTTAAAATGCACTCTGATGCTGTCAGTGGAGCGAGGCCCGAGCCAAACACATTAATAATATATGGGTTGGTTTGTGCTTAATGGGCAGTGTTCAGAGGGCGAGTCACACAGTTAAAAGAGCCAAAACTCGCCAGTTTCTCTCCTTGCTGTGGGCTTTGCCTCAAATCTCTTTCTAGCAAGTTGGATTTAGAAAACAGTCTCTTGAACGCCTAATCACATCTGACTGTTTCAATGCGTTGGCATCAATGGGATCAAACAGGATGAAATGGGATTTAAGCTAAATTTAAATGATGGCAGACAAATTCTTTGCACACATGCACAACACTCAGAAATTTTCACACATGATCACACATACACAAACTGCAGTAAAACCCCCCAGAGGTCGTGTCTCATCTACTCAGCCCCAGGGCGGATAAGTCCTACAATTTTTGACAGGCCTGGAAAACACTCTGTTTACAGATCCCCTATCTGAAGGATCTGGTTGAAATCTGGCACAGTTTTTCCTTTCGCTGGGAGACAAAATGCAGGCACAGAGAGGCTGCTGTGCAGACTGCTGCACAAACTGACCCAGTTCTCAGCAGCAACTCAGCCTCGCACTGTCAACCAGCAACAACTCACCATGACCACAACAACAGAGCAGCAAACCTTAGCGTCTCTGTGGAATAGAGCCCAGGAGAGTAACAGAGAGATCTGAAAAACAAACATGAGTATACAGATGTTCTGAAATAACGAGCTATTTATAAGACGAAATCAAACAAAATTAGCATCTGTGTCCCCGCTCTGGCAAGATCTTTTTGGCACTGACATGATGATATTTCCTTTCCTGCACAGCACAGTTTTCTCAACTAAATGCTAACTTGAATGGTGGATCTCAAATGGCAATGTCGGTCAGTCTGTAGGTCTGTCCATCCATTCCTTTTGTCCAGACTGATCGTCATGACCATTTTAACATGCTGACATTAGGATTTAGCTGCATAAGAACTGCTGCACTTAAGCCACTAGCATTGACTCTTAGCTATATTGTGAGTGTATATAGTGTCTGTGTGTGTGTCAGTGCACATCTGCCCAGCTCTTAGGCAGTCTGATGGATGTAACCTGTCTCTACACCCCCCCGAGAGTCATCCTACGGGTCAGAGGCAGTGTCGCAGCATGAATCAATGAGATGACATCGTGGAGGCAGACAAGGTCCCCACTGCTGGACTCAAGGACAGGCAGGGATCCTTAAAAAACACACACACACTCTTCATTAAACACATGGACCCACAGGGGTTTGCGCATCATCCAGTGAGCAGGCGAATAAATACACACTGTTACTCTCACTCTTACAGCAAATACTGAGGATAGTTTTTCTACTATTCTCTCCACCTGTAGCCAGTGGTTTTTATCACAGCCTGTGTCCTGTGGATCGGACTACTTCTGTATCTGCTTCAACATGAAAGAGCACAGGGTCAGTCTTACAGCTTGATCCTGTTCCTGGACAACCAACACATACAAGATCACACTAGGAGTCCCCAAATCCACACTACAAACTGTAAATTAACATTTGCCAGATGTTAAGGTAACAGCAGAGGCAAAATCCACCACTATCCAGACAGTTAGGAAGGCAGATTCTGCCACAGACCAGCTGTCCAGGGAGATACAAGAAGAAGAATGGGAGGAAAATCAGCCCTGAAGCTAAAAATAACTTCATTCTGACCTAATGAGCAGATGTTGGGAACCAACATCCCTGTCCAATCACACATATATCATCAGCCTGCACAGACACACAGATGACCATGACCAGATGTCTCAAACACTGGTTCAGGATAGTCTGATTAAAAACACCATGTTGCCAAGAAAAGGTGCTTCCCAAATAAAAAAAATGGAGCGAAGCCTGCAAGCTAGTTCAGGCAGTCAACTCGAGCTGCGCTGATATACACACATGACATGCCTCACTCCATAATCACTAACCAAGCGCACCCTTCCAATCTGGCGGTCTATTTAAACTGCACTATTTAATTACCCAGCTCTCCCCTCTGCTATGTTCAATGCAATTGTTGCCTGCATCCGTATTGATGCTGCTGCTCTGCTCTGTAAGCTTTGCTGCCTGATACACTGTAAGCCACCACCACCCACCCAGCATCCACCTGTAGGCTCCGGGGTTAAGGTATTTGCGCATCACTCTCCAATATCTTTATGTAAACATATCTGCGGGAGAGTGATGAGGTTGGAGCCTAGACGCCAAAATCGAAATATGCTATACAGCAGTAATAAACATTTTAAACGTGAGTTGTCTGACTGAAATACGGTTGTGGTCATTGTCTGGTGTGTTTTTGTGTGGCAGTGTGTCTGACCATAAATAAGTCATCCATGTTGACTGGTAGCCTTTATAAGCCCTTATATTTGGCCAGCAGAGCGTGGATCTCCTCTACCCTATCCCTCCGTCCTCAGCTTTGTCTCTCTCTCTCTCTCTCCTCTCCTCTCCCCTCTCTTCAACACAGGCAACACACCACACAACCACAACGCTCGATAGGAACCTCTCAAAGAGACACAATTTAGCATCAGTGAGGTTGGAGCAGTCGAGCAGTCAGCAGGTTATTAGAGAAGGCTTTTTACATTTTATTGTTGCAAACAAACCGAGGTGCAAGCTTGACACATTTTTACTTTTCATGGGAAAGCTGACAGTTTGTACTTTCCATTGCTAAGTAGTTATAAGTCCAATATTAAATCTGTGCTTAGTCACTCCATTTTAAGCCCAAGTCAAGTGTGGAGGACAGCTTAGCAGCTCTCTGGAACAGCTGCACTAAAGAGGGTGAGAGAGGGGAAATGTAAACATCAGGAGGTAAGACAACTGTGGTAAAGAGAGTTATGATTTCGTTAAAAGGGCATAAATTCTCAGTTTGGCCATAATAATATACAATATATATCAACTAGTCCAAGTCAATATAAAAGTTTTGTTTGTGAGTCGGAAAAGTGAAATCAAGTTTATTTCTGTCTCTTCTAATCAAAGTTTAAGTCTTAATAAAGGATTCACAGTGCCCACATTGTAAGCGAAAAAACAAAAACAGCGACGGCCAAACTTAGACTCGCAATGACAACAAAGGAAAACTGTCATCACAACATAATTAGGCGGAACAAAAATGGAAGAAGCCCTGGGTGGGGGTTCACAGAGCAGGATTCCCATAGTGGCGAGGCGTACAGTGCCTGGAGTGGGAACACAGATATTAATTATGAATAAAAACTGGAACAGAAATAACACAGAAATAATGAACAGAACACAAACACTTGGTCAACATCCAAGTCTCAAATATTTGTCTACATCATGGCCGTCATCACAGCGACACCCAGTAACAGATTTGACCATAAACCACAGCCCCGAGTGTTCACAAAGAAAAACTGAACATTTTTCAAACTGACATCAGTTCAGTGGGCTGCGACGTGCAGTGGGTGCAGTTGCTTTAAGTTTGCAAATAGACACAATACTCACGATGGCGCTTAGTGCCCTGCGACCCTATTGTAGCCGCATCCTCTTCCTCTAAGAAGTCTGAGTCACTGAGGCAGTGAGTGTGAACTGATTGAGACTGACAAGCTGCCTCGTATGACCTTTAGCTGATTAAAGCCAAAACCACAAACCTTTGACTTGAATGCTGCAGTTAGTGTTTCAATGGTATATCCAGAATTTAACAATCATTTAAAGAAGAAAACTCTAGTAAGTTATTTGGTCTCACATTCAGCCTTCTAGACTTATATTCTGACTTCTTCTATATTCTTCTAGTTCATATGACGGAGATTTGTTGCACTATGTTGTTCTAAAAGTTTGGCCCAGGTGGGGCGCCCGCATAGCTCAGTGGGTAGAGCTGGTGACCCATGTACCAGGGTTCGAATCCGCGTGTCATCCCCTCTCTCTCTGCCCCCCTTTCCTGTCTGTCTTCAGCTGTCACTATAATAAAGGCAATGAAAGCCCAAAAAATATACTTAAAAAATAAATAAATAAAAGAAAACAATGTTTTCCCAGGTTGCACACACCCACACCCACACCC